ATCAGACTGATTATATTCTTTGCAGTCAAAGATGGAGAAGTTCTATACAGTCAGCAAAAACAAGACTGGGAGCTGACTGTGGGTCAGATCACGAACTCCTTATTGCCAAATTCAGACTTAAATTTAAGGAAGTAGGGAAAACCACCAGACCATTCAGGTATGACCTAAATCAAATCCCTAACAATTATACAGTGGAAGTGAGAAATAGATTTAAGGGACTAGATCTGATAGAGTACCTGATGAACTATGGACGGAGGTTTGTGACATCACACAGGAGATGGGGAGCAAGACCATCCCCAAGGAAAAGAAATGTAGAAAAGCAAAATGGCTGTCCGAGGAGGCCTTACAAATAGCTGTGAAAAGAAGAGAAGTAAAAAGCAAAGCAGAAAAGGAAAGATAAACCCATTTGAAGGCAGAGTTTCAAAGAACAGCAAGGAGAGATAAGAAAGCCTGTTCAATGATCAATGCAAAGAAATAGAGGAAAACAATAGAATGGGAAAGACTAGAGATCTCTTCAAGAAAACTGGAGATACCAAGAAAACATTTCATGCCAAGATGGGTTCAATACAGAAATGGTATGGATCTAACAGAAGCAGAAGATATTAAGAAGAGGTGGCAAAAATACACAGAAGAACTATACAAGAAATATCTTTATGACCCAGATAATCACCATGGTGATCACTCACCTACAGCCAGACATCCTGGAATGCGAAGTCAAGTGGGCCTTAGGAAGCATCACGATGAACAAGGCTAGCGGAGGTGATGGAACTCCATTTGAGCTATTTCAAATCCTGAAAGATGATGCTGTCAAAGTGCTGCACTCAATATGCCAGCAAATTTGGAAAATTCAGCAGTGGCCACAGGACTGCAAAAGGTCAGTTTTCATTCCAATCCCAAAGAAAGGCAATGCCAAAGAATGCTCAAACTCCCGCACAATTGCACTCATCTCACACGCTAGTAAAGTAATGCTCAAAATTCTCCAAGCCAGGCTTTAGCAATACGTGAACCGTGAACTTCCAGATGTTCAAGCTGGTTTTAGAAAAGGAACCAGAGATCAAATTGCCAACTTCCACTGGATCATCGAAAAAGCAGGAGAGTTCCAGAAAAACATCTATTTCTGCTTTACTGACTATGCCAAAGCCTTTGACTGTGTGGATCACAATAAACTGTGGAAAATTCTGAAAGAGATGGGAATACCAGACGACCTGACCTGCCTCTTGAGAAACCTGTATGCAGGTCAGGAAGCAACAGTTAGAACTGGATATGGAACAACAGACTGGTTGCAAATAGGAAAAGGAGTATGTCAAGGCTTGTCACCTGGCTTATTTAACTTATACGCAGAGTACATCATGAGAAATGCTGGGATGGATAAGGCAGAGGCTGGAATCAAGATTTACAGGAGAAATATCAATAACATCAGATATGCAGATGATACCACCCTTATGGCAGAAAGTGTATGCAGAAGAAGTAAAGAGCTTCTTGATGGAAGTGAAAGAGGAGAGGGAAAAAGTTGGCTTAAAGCTCAACATTCAGAAAACTAAGATCATGGCATCCAGTCCTATCACTTTATGGCAAATAGATGGGGAAACAGTGGAAACAGTGGCTGACTTTATTTTGGGGGGCTCCAAAATCACTGCAGATGGTGACTGCAGCCATGAAATTAAAAGACGCTTACTCCTTGGAAGGAAAGTTATTACCAACCTAGACAGCATATTAAAAAGCAGAGATGTTACTTTGCCAATAAAGGTCCATCTAGTTAAGTCTATGATTTTCCCAGTAGTCATGAATGGATGTGAGAGTTGGAGTATAAAGAAAGCTGAGTGCCAACGAATTGATGCTTTTGAACCGTGGTGTTGGAGAAGACTCTTGAAAGTCCCTTGGACTGCAAGGATATCCAACCAGTTCATCCTAAAGTAAAACAGTCCTAAGTGTTCATTGGAAGGACTGATGTTGAAGCTGAAACTCCAATACTTTGACCACCTGATGTGAAGTGACTCATTTGTAAAGACCCTGATGTTGGGAAAGATTGAAGGTGGGAGGAGAAGGGAAAGACAGAGGATGAGATGGTTGGATGGCATCACTGACTCAATGGACATGAGTTTAAGTAAACTCTGGGAGTTGGTGATGAACAGGGAGGCCTGGTGTGCTGTAGTCCATGGGGTCACAAAGAGTCGGACACGACTGAGAGACTGAACTGAACTGACAGAGGTCAGACACAAAAGGTCACCTATATGCAATTCCACTCACAAAATGTCCAGAATACACAAATCTGAAGAGACAGAAAGTAGGGAGGTCTCTTCTATACATCTGTGACTCCATTCCTGCTCTGCAAATAGGTTCATCAATACCATTTTTCTAAATTCCATATATGTGTGTTAATATATGATACTTGTTTTTCTCTTCCTGACTTTCTTCACTCTATATAACAGGCTGTGTTTATTCACCACAATAGAACTGACTAAAATTCATTTTTTTGTATGGCTGAGTAATATTCCATTATACTTATGTACCACAACTTTATCCCTTCATCTGTAGATGGGTATCTAAGTTGCTTCCATATCCTGGCTGTTGTAAATCATGCTGCAATGAACAATGGGGTACATGTGTCCTTTAGAACTATGGCTTTTGGGGGAAGGAGAGAGTGGGACAAACGGAGCATGTAGCATTAGCATTATATACACTATCATGTATAAAAAAGATAGCTGGTGAGAAGTTACTATACAACACAGGGAGCCCAGCCTGGGACGGGTGGAGAGGAAGGAGGCTCATGAGGGAGGTGAAAGTGAAAAGTGAAAGTGAAAGTCGCTCAGTCGTGTCCGACTCTTTGTGACCCCATGGACTATACAGCCCATGGAATTCTCCAGCCCACTGAGGGGGGGATGTATGTATAATTATGGCTGATTCTCACTGTTGTACAGCAAAAAATCAACTCAACATTGTAAAGCAATTTTCCTCCAATTATAAAATATTTAAAGAAACAAAAATGTAGGGACGCACGAATGGGGATAACTGTAATGGATATGGGTTTCTTTTGGGGTGATAAGAATGTTCTGGAGTTAGTGGTATGCTTACATAGCATAGTGAGTATACTAAAAATCACTGAATTGTACATTTTGAAATGGTTATGGTAAACTTCAGATTAAATGAATTTTATCTTTAAAAAAATACACTGCTGCTGTACACTGCATGGAGTTTTCAGGAAGGCAAATTAAGTTAGGCTCATTTGCATCTGTGAAAAAAATGAAAACTCCCAGAAGTGCCTCCTCTACTCATTGCCTGAGGCTGTGAGGAAGGGTGGAGGATCCTACCCATCAGACTCTGCCTTGGCCAGAGGGCACTCTGCAAGGGGAGGAAAGTTCAGGGTGTGCAGAAACGGAGGGACCAGATGCCCCCCCAGGACCTGATGAGACCATCCTAGCCACACCGCATCCTTCTCACCACTCCCCCGCCCCCTTCTCACCCAAGTTTAGACTATGGCAGGTGACCAGTGTACCCTGCACGGGGTACACAGAGGCCATGACTCAGATAGCAAGCACCACTCACAGGGTCTGCGGTCTGAGAAGCACACAGGTGGACAGACACTAAGAACACGGCTGAATCCCACCTGCAGCGCCCTCACATCTCTCCCGGCCTTGGTGCCGCGCTGGCCATGCAACCTCTCCCAGGATCCTAGCGTCCACCCTGTCCTAGCCTCCAATGGCACCACACAGCTGCTGGCACCAGCCATCACAGCGTGGCTCACATGGGCCTTCACACGGAACAACTGCCCACTGAAACGATGTGATCCAACTTGGAGCTTCTGAGGAAAGACACTGCCCAAATTACTGCACTAATGAAAGTGTGTGTCTGTGTCCTCAGTCGTGTCCGACTCTTTGTGACCCCGTGGACTGCAGCCCGCCAGGCTCCTCTGTCCAGGGCTTTCTCCAGGCAAGAATACTGGAGTGGGTTGCCATGTCCTCCTCGAGGGAATCTTCCCAACCCAGAGACTGAACCTGCATCTCCTGCATTGGCAGATGGGTTCTTTATCACTGAGCCACCTGGGAAGCTCATTAGTGAATAATCACATCAGGTTAGAAGAGGAAAGAAAACTCAAATAAACCCTAAATACAAATTAAAGAAAAAAAAAAAAAGACTAAGAACATCAGCTCAGTTACATTTGGACAGATAACCAGGAATGCAGAGGGACGCCCACTCCGGTTGCACAGCACATCTCCCCAGGGCGCCTGCCTTTCTAAGCTACGTTGTATTCACACAAAACCAAGCGTGTGTCTTGCAGGTGGAACAGGTGTCAGGGTAGTTTTCTGGGTGGCACCACAGGAGGGCCTTGTTCACTCTCTCCCAATTCTCCCGGGGGCTGGCTGTCCGAGATGGAGGTGTTACAAGACTGGTTCCTGAGGCCTCCTGCCTTGGCATGTGGATGGCCGTCTTCTCCCACACCTTCATATGGTCGTCTTGCTGTAGGTGTCTGGGTCCTGATCTCTTCCTATCTCACCAGTTGCCCTAGATTAGCACCCACCCTAAAGGTCTCATTTCACTCCATCTCCTCTTTGAAAGCTCCATCTCCAAACATGGTCAACATCCTGAGGTTCTGGGGTCAGGACATCAACACATAAATTGTAGAGGGTACAGTTCAGCCCAGGACAGGACCATCTTTGAAAGGGAAAAGCACAGTAAACAGCAGCCACTATTCTCGAGTGTGACTCCAGGGCTGAGAGGCTGAGCGTCCCTCCTATACCTCTGGCTCTCCAACAGAAGAGCAGCTGGAACACTGTAGGCAGTGGTCCTGGGGCAGCAGGGCCCAGTCACTGCACCCAGGAACAGCATGGAGTTGAACCCAACACCAGTGATGAACCTGACCCTGTCCCCAGCTGGGGGCAATTCTTCCCTCACAAGTGAAGTAACCATCCCCGAAAAGTCTGAGCAGAATGACCCCGCTGCCCCCGTGGTGGTGCCACAGTGGCCTGAGGCCAGCATTCGCTCTCCAGGGAAACAGTGCTCACCTGTCTCAGGAGGGTCGCTCTGGTCCTTCACTCTCTCAGGAGGCACTTTCTCAGGTGGGTTTCTGGAGGCTGGAGTCACAGGGGCCCTCTTTTCTTGGCCGTGGGAAACCTCAGGATAAAGTTTCTTCAGTACTTTTCCAACAAACACTACAGAGGCAAAAGAAAGAAAAGTATTACTGATTGAATTTTATTTAAATTGCAAATGAATTTTATATAAAACAAGACATATCATGACATCACCATCTCAGGGCTAAGTGACTGCCCTTCCACAGGACACAATGGGGGGGGGTGCCTACAAGACCCCCAGCACTGTCCCCATGAGGGTCAGCCCCAGCACTGTCCATCACAGCACTCCTACTTCTGACCCAATCACAGGACCCCCAGCACTGTAGGCATCAGGGGACCCCAGAAGTGTCCACATCACAGAAGCCCCATAGCACTGTCCATCAGAGGCCCCTTGCCCTAGGTACCCCCACAGGTGTGAGCACAGGTGGGGAGGGTGAGGCTGGGAACTGGGGGGGCACGTGGGCTCACAGTTCTGTTCTTCCTCCACCTCATCGCTGGATGAATTTATGCACAGACAAGACTATGAGCTGTTTTCAGACTCTGGTTTGTGGTCCTGAGCCGCAAAGCAGCACTGGAGAAGCTGAATCCACGCCAGTTCATAGCAGACAGGCTGGGCAGCCCAGGGGCCCCATCTGGGGCCCTCACAGGGACAGCATAGTTGGCACAGCGCCCACAAGGATGCAGATTCTTCACTTGGCTTATCTCAGGGCACTCTCTGCTCTGACTAGAGGGGAAGTGCTGCCACAGTGAATAAACATTTCTGTCCTGATTTAAGTGTGAACAACAAGCAGGGACAATCTCAAAAGAGCAGCCAAGAAAGATGAGGGGAAAGGTTAATCCAGTGAATCTGTTTTGAAGTGAAGGGAAGCGAAAGTTGCTCAGTCGTGGTAGACTCTTTGTGACTCCACGGACTATAGCCCACCAGGCTCTTCAGTCCAAGGAATTCTCCAGGCAAGAATACTGGAGTAGGTAGCCATTCCTTTTCCAGGGGATCTGGATCAAATCCAAGTCTCCTGCATTGCAGGCAGATTCTTTACTGTCTGAGCCACCAGGTAATCTGTTTTAACCTCATTAAATTTAGAAACAAATCAACAGAGAGAGAGAGAACTGCTCTAGTGACCAAGCACCATGGGGCAGAAACCAAGAGCAGGACTCTGGAGACAGGCTCGAGGTATTCAGACGACAAAGTGGGGGACAGACATTAGGGCCACTGAGGAGGCGGTGATATGAGAGGGGAAGTGAAAGGGGAAGTGTGACGGGGCTGTTGAGTGGCCTGTGGGTCATGGAGGGCAGGCTCCTGTCCCACAGAGGGGGCACAAGCCTAATGGCACAGACCGCTCCTCCTTTCATCCTGTGCACAGACGGCCCTTGCTGCAGAAATAAGCCCCTCCAATTGGTGCTAGTTGGAAAACACACAATTTGGGTCTAAAAACACAACAGGCCTCCTGAGAAAGCTACTCAAGCCCAGGTGGTGCTCGGCCAGGTGCCTGGGGGGAGCACAGGGTCTTGGTGTTACCTGCCTGCCCACCCCCGGGAGCCCTGGCAGGAGGAAGCCAGTCCTGGCGGTGATGCCCTCATTTCCCTGGCCAGCGGAGGCCCTGCCTCCCAGCTCTGCCAGGTTCGGCAGCACAGGCCTGCAAGCATGTTCCCCAGACCACCGCAGACAGCCAGGGCAGCACTTGGGTCACAGGGAGGCAGCCTGTTCCATTAGACCAGCACTCCAAGACCTGTCCAAAGGGCAGGTTCCAAGTTTCCAATAGAAACTGAATGGTCACGTGCATTTCCTTAAACAGCAGAGGGGAAAAGCTTCTACTCCAGAAAACTGGGTGCAATTTCTGGGGAACCAAAAGCAGTTGACAAAACCCTAACCAGTCACCCTGCTCTAAAATGAACTTGGGGATGCTTGAAGCCTGAGAGCCACCTGGGCTGGCAGCAGCTGATGTCGGCATCCCGCTGCGGTCACGGCTGAGCTCCACACACGTGTGTGTGTGAACACATGACCACACTACAGGAAAACCAGATGGGTCATCACCAAGCAGCATGCGCATCCACTGCAGAGTGACCCCACAGCCTGAAGGAGTCAAAATACACAGCAATCCCAGGGAGAAACTGGCATGGTCACCAGGAAACACTGAGATGAACCAGTCACCTGACAATTTTGCTTCCACTGGTGCCCTGACACAGTGGTGAGGGCGCGGCACATAGCAGGCCAGCCATGGACGGAGACACAGGCTGTGTGGCTGCGGCACTGTCCCTGAATTCAGCGTGTCACCTGCACACAATGTATCTATGGCCTAACTGGTGGCCTGTCTGCAAAGTGGGTCTCGAGGCCCTCTGGTCTCCACTCACTGCCTTTCGGTGTCACTGCATGACCCTGGTGTGTGGTCTCCAGTCCTGCAGGAGGTTCAGGATATGTGGTCCTTCCTCAGGGACAAGACTTAACCCAGAGCCCAGGCTGAGAGCTCCAGGGCTAAGGTCCCGGGGCCAGGCTCTGGGTCTCTGACTTGGATGGGGTCTGGGGGCTGCAGGCTTGCCTCACACCTGGCTCTGGAAGCTGATAAATATACATGTCTCATATGGGCTTCACAGGTGACTCAGAGGCAAAGAACCTACTTGCCAAAGCAGGAGACAAGGGTTCAATCGTTTGGTTAGGAAGATCCCCTGGAGGAAGAAATGGCACCCTGCTCCGATTTCCCCTGCCTGGGAAATCCCATAGACAGAGGAGCCTGGTGGGCTACAGTCCATGGGGTTGCAAACAGTCAGACATGACTTAGCGACAGAACAACAACACATGTCTAATACTTTCAGTTGCCACAATTTAAAGCACAGTCTTTTAAAAAATAATATGATTTTAATTTTCCAAAATCAACTTTAAAAGAGCCATGTGTAACAAACAAAACTAAAGTAATACTTTCTACCAGCTAATACTGCTGGAGGATTCCTCAGTGAATTTCACCTCTTAGTTCTCACTCTGTGTTCTTTCACACACAGAGAATAAGACCACTCAATGCATAAACACTGTCCTCTAAAGAAAACAAGCTGTCAGCGAGGACCTGTCCCTACCCCCACTCCCCCATCAGCTCATCTGCTTTTCAAACGGAGGATGGGGTCGCTCCAGTGCAGTCACAGAAGAAGCTCATAGCTTACTTAAATAGAAATCACTAGCTATTAATATTTTACACCAAAAGAAATGTACAGCCACTGGACTCTAACTTCTTGGAGCCTCTAGGGCTATGAAGGAGATTGGGTGCATGTGAACTGCCTACCAGTTTACTACAGATAGGGACTTCTGGCCACAGCTATGTAGGGATTCTAAGTCAAAAGCAGAACAGAAATGAAAGGTTACTTTTTTCAGGGTCCTGGCAAGCAGTAAAGCATCATTTTTAAAAAGCATCTGTCACCTTTGGTTTGTTGCAACGCGCCTTGTGACTGTGTGTATGGGTGTGTGTGTGTGTTGACTGCTGCAAATGTAGCCCTAAAAATCAATTTAGAGGTTAAACGTCTCTTTTCTGCTTAATTTCCACCGTGCTCAAAAACAAACAAAAGAGAGCTGGATGCTCAGGTTCAGGAAGGCAGCTCTGTGTCACCACAGGGACCTGCCTGCTGCTCCCTTCCTCACATTGTCCTCCTGCTGTGCCCCTACCCCACTCCCAGCAGCAGGAGCAGGTTCTAACTTGAAACTCTGGTGTCTGTCAAAAAGTAATCAGTAGAACATAAAAAAACAGAAGAACGGACATGGATGCCCGCAGGAGATGAGTACAATCACCACGCAGACAGGCACCTGGAGCTGGGACACAAGAGACACAGCAAAAGGTCACCGTGGAGAAAACCATCTCGTCTGAAGTTAATACGATGGAATACCAAACAGAGAGATCAAGTCTCTGTGTCACAGGGGAATCAAGCCATTTTGATATGATTTTCAGAGAGGACTGTCATCCACACTTGCTGTTTCAGGCTAAAGACATAAGACAAAGAAAAATAAATCTTCAGTCAAGTGTTCTTTGGAAATTAGATACCTAAGAAGAACTGTGAATACATGTACCTCAAAAGGAAATAGGTGGCTTGATTGCTGGTGGTAAACTATTCAATTCTAACCTCTTCTTTCACACAGCTACATGTTCAGAATCTAACAGTTGGGGGTAAAAAAAGGCAGGGGTTTGTTCCACATTTAACAGAGGTGTTAGTGACAGTATTTCAAGTTATTAGGCCTCCTTCACGGTGGTCTTAGGAAGGAGGGTCTAACAGGCCTCTGTCTGAGGGACTTGGTTCCCAACACACCTCCCAGAGGAGAAAGCCTCCTCATCAGGGGATCTGGGTGAATATATTTTCTATTAGAAAAGGCTCTCATGAAAACAAAAACAATGGAAATAGAACTTTTTCTTCCATAATGTTCCACTCTGAAAAAAAGCAAAGAAAAATGAAAACTATGCGTTTAAAAAAAAAAACCCTCTTGAACTTTGAGGTCAGTAAGTCACCCCATTAACATAAAAAATATTTTCCTTTTCCTTAAAAACGTTCACTTTGGTGGCAAAGTAACACACATTTCCCTCAACATTTATGTTCACATCTACGTTCATACTTTATTTAACATGGGTGTAAAACTACACATTTCTTTTTACTACATTTATACTGGAGAGCTTTCTGGTAATGGAAATGATATTGATTCATTTCTAATTCTCTTGCCATATCATCCCTATGAACCACCGTCTCTCAGAAAAGCACAATTCTCAGAGGACAAAAAAGCATGTGTAGAGCTAATCTGGAGACATGAGGAAAAAAACTAGCCAAAAAACTGTATTTTCAAGGGTGAATGTAAATGGAAAGCAGTAAAACTGATGGGGCCACCTATTTATAGAAATTACACAAAAATAAAGAAGACCCTAAGTATTAACAAATAACTTTAAAAATGTGACATCTAGATATTTCATTATGAAAGAAAGCTACCAGAACAAACAGGTTTATGACATACCTTTTAAAAGTGATTATCTAAAACTAGAACACTTTCTAACACCATACACAAAAATAAACTCAAAATAGATTAAAAATCTAAATGTAAGACCAGAAACTATAAAACTCCTAGAGGAGAACATAGGCAAAACACTCTCTGACATAAATCACAGCAGGATCCTCTATGACCCACATCCCAGAATTTTAGAAATAAAAGCAAAAATAAACAAATGGGACCTAATGAAACTTAAAAGCTTTTGCACAACAAAGGAAACTATAAGCAAGGTGAAAAGACAGCCCTCAGATTGGGAGAAAATAATAGCAAACGAAGCAACAGACAAAGGATTAATCTCAAAAATATACAAGCAACTCCTCCAGCTCAACTCCAGAAAAATAAATGACCCAATCAAAAAATGGGCCAAAGAACTAAACAGACATTTCTCCAAGGAAGACATACAGATGGCTAACAAACACATGAAAAGATGCTCAACATCACTCATTATCAGAGAAATGCAAATCAAAACCACAATGAGGTACCATTACACGCCAGTCAGGATGGCTGCTATCCAAAAGTCTACAAGCAATAAATGCTGGAGAGGGTGTGGAGAAAAGGGAACCCTCTTACACTGTTGGTGGGAATGCAAATTAGTACAGCCACTATGGAAAACAGTGTGGAGATTTCTTAAAAAGCTGGAAATAGAACTGCCATATGACCCAGCAATCCCACTTCTGGGCATACACACCAAGGAAACCAGATCTGAAAGAGACACGTGCACCCCAATGTTCATCGCAGCACTGTTTATAATAGCCAGGACATGGAAGCAACCCAGATGCCCATCAGCAGACGAATGGATGAGGAAGCTGTGGTACATATACACCATGGAATATTACTCAGCCATTAAAAAGAATTCATTTGAATCAGTTCTAATGAGATGGATGAAACTGGAGCCCATTATACAGAGTGAAGTAAGCCAGAAAGATAAAGACCATTACAGTATACTAACACATATATATGGAATTTAGAAAGATGGTAACGATAACCCTATATGCAAAACAGAAAAAGAGACACAGATGTACAGAACAGACTTTTGGACTCTGTGGGAGAAGGCGAGGGTGGGATGTTCAGAGAGAACAGCATTGAAACAAGTATATTATCAAGGGTGAAACAGATCACCAGCCCAGGTTGGATGCATGAGACAAGTGCTCAGGACTGGTGCACTGGGAAGACCCAGAGGGATGGGATGGAGAGGGAGGCGGGAGGGAGGATCGGGATGGGGAACACATGTAAATCCATGGCTGATTCATGTCAATGTATGGCAAAAATCACTACAATTTAATAAATAAATAAATAAATAAATAAAAAATAAAAGTGATTATCTAGAACTTAAAATGAGGGTTGTCAGGCTTTTTAAAATCATATATAAATGAAAAACTACTTCTGAAAATAAGATCAGTAATGGAATTTCATTGAAACTTTCCCAGTGGCCAGTTTGATGACAGCCTCCCAACTATAGCCTGGCTTGGTAGAGAAAATCTTCCAAAACAAACACACACCAAGAAAATCATAAAGAAAAGGAAGAGTTCCCCAACCTCAGTAAACAGTGACTCAGATGATTCCCTTTTCTACCTGTTATCTGTATAGCTTAAGAGACACTTTAAATTTCCTTAAGTTTATAAAGTATTTCTTGGAATCTGAAACAGTATTTTCAATTTCCTATTTTCAGTAAAGAGTATGTTTACCTGCCAACCTGTCTATAGCTTTTTCCACCATGATATTCAATATGGGTTTTTTTGTCCTGTAATACGAAAAGGCTGCCTAGGAATAAAAGAGTACATTAATAATAGTATTGCATCAATTCACAAGAAAGAGAAGGTCAATATATATGCAAATTCAATGAATGATAGTTTCTTAATGAGTTTCATCACAGAATTATAAATGGAAAAACAATTAGCTAAGATTAAGCAAGAGTTGCCAAGCTTTCTGAAATATTAATTAAGAGGAAACTAGTTCTCAAAATAAGACTATAAAAAGTATTCAAATGGAACATAACTGGAATCCCAGGCCATGACCAATCTGAGGTGGCCTCCCCATCTAAGAACTAGACGTACACTAAACACTCAGTTTCTCACAAAACTTTAACACTTAAAAATATTTCAAACTCTGTCCAAAATTTTTCCTCACAGTATTTTTTTAGCAGCAATTACTATGCCATTAGCCATTCTAAAACATTTTAAGCGGATGTAAGGCTGTGATCATTTTGTGCAGAGAAGACACTGCTTTTGTTTTGTCACCACAGACATGATGCAAGGGATCTGGCAGGGCAGGCTGAGGGGACACTTGAAGGCAACTCAGAAAGCTGCCTCATCCCAGTTGGAAGATAGGGGAGAACCCGTTCCTTCTACTCAGTACTGTTACTGAGGTGCAGTGTTCTCCTACAGAGGAAGCAGACTGGGAATGCTATCTACTATTCTCCATATTCTGTGTTACAGAGAAATTAGTTTCCTTATTTTATGCAAATATTAACTATAGTTGCCACTGGGCTTTTCCTTTCAAAGGGCAAAAACACAACATATGTTTTTTGGTTTTTTTTTAAAACAACATCTGTTTTAACGGAGAGAAGGAAAGAACATAATCATGGCCTGAACTAATCCAAGTAAAATGAGAAACATATCCAAAACCTTCACCTTTTCTTGAAACCACACAACTCCTAGAAGAAAACACAGAGAGAACCTTCTTTGACAACAGGAGTCTTAGTGAAGATTTTTTTTTTCTTTTGACACCAAAAGCAAAGACAACAACAGTAAAAACAAACAAAAGAAACTAAAAAGCTTCTGCAAAACAAAACCACCAACAAATGAAAAGGCAACCTACTGAAGAGGAGAAAATATTTGCACACTGTAAATCTGGAAGGGGCTAATATCTAAAATATATAAAGAACCATATAATTCAGTAGCAAAAAGTCCCCAAATAATCTAAGTAAAAAGTGGGCAGAGAAACTGAGCAGACATTTCTCCAAAGAAGACACACAGGTGGTCAACAGGTACACAGAAAAGATGCTCAAGATCACTAATCATCAGGGAAATTGAAATCAAAACACAGTGAGATATCACCTCACATCTGTCAGAATGGCCATCATCAAAGAAGACAGGAAATAACAAATGTTGGTGAGGATGTGAAGGAAAGGAAACCCTTGTGCACTGCTTGTGGGAATGAAAATTGGTGCAGCCACTATGGAAAAGAGTCTGAAGGATCCTCACAAAATTAAAAATTAAACTATGATACGATCTGCAATTCCACTTTTGGATATGGGTATTTATCCGAACAAAATGAAAACACTAACTTGAAAATTCAGACACATGTACCTCAGTGTTCACTGAAGCATTATTCACAATAGCCAAGATATGATAACAACCTAAGTGTCCATGGATGGATGGATGAATAAGATGTGGAATACTATTCGGCCCTAAAGAAGGAAAGTGCCATTGCCAATAACAGAGATGGCATTATGCTAAGTGGAATAAGTCAAAGAAAGACAAATACTGTAAGATCTCACTATTTGTTGAATCTTTAAAAAAAAAAAAAAGGAGCTCACAGATGCAGAGAACAGACTGATGGTCACCAGAGGTCCAGAGGTGATTGAGGGATGGGACAAATTGGTAAAGATGGTCAAAAGGTACAAGCTTCCAGTCATAAGTAAATAAGTCCTGGGATATAGTTGTACAGCATGGTGATTACTGCTAACACTGCAATGTGGCATATTTGCTAAGACAGAAAGTAGGTCCTAAAAGTACTTATCACAAGGGATTTTGTAACTATATGAGGTGATGGATGTTAGCTTACTGGGTGATGGCTTTGTAATATATAGCCCGTCATGTCACTACGCTGTACACCTAAAACCCATAGGTGTATTGATCATATCTGACCCATGTGTATTGATCATATCTGAATAAAACTGAGGAAAACATAATCTTCCCTTTGTTTTCATTTTAATGTTGATGATTATAGGGTAATGAGAAGTTTGCTGGGCTTTCCACGAGGTGTCTGAAGTTCCCTGTATCTCTGGCATTCATTCTAAATCATGTGCCAGGTTAGCCAATTAAATGTATCCATTCTGCCTTTGAGTGTTGGCTGCTCTGTCCTGACTCTTTGGGACCTCAAGGACTGTAGCCCATCAAGGTCCTCTGTCCACGGAATTCTCTAGACAAGAATACTGGAGTGGGTTGCCATTCCCTTCTCCAGAGAATCTTCCTGACATAGATATCAAACCGCCGTCTCCTGCATTGCAGGTGGATTCTTTACAGTCTGAGCCACTAGGGAAGTACCATTCTGCCTTTGGTGCTGGTCAAAAATACTGCCATCACTTAATAAACACTAGTTATGTCCCCAGAAATTCAGGGTCCCTGCACTTAAATGGTTTGAGAGTCTGAATGTGGGGTTTGGGCAGGTCTTCACACCCGGCCCCCATAGTCCCATGTCCCAGACTCCTACAGCTCCCGTCCCTCACAGTCCCGTATCCTCACAGTTCGCGTCCCCGCAGTCCCGAGGCCTCAGACTCCGAGTTCCTCACAGTCCCGGGTGCCCAGAGCCCCCGTCCCCAAAGCCCCGGATCCTCAGAGCCTCGGTCCTCACAGACCCCCTCCCCGCCCCTGAAAGCTTTGTGTCCCTCACAGCTCCCATCCCCACAGTCCCGGGTCCCGGCCCCCACAGCAACCCCCAGAGCCCGAGTCCTCACGGCCATTGTCCCTCAAAGCTTCAGGTCCCTCACAGCCCCCATCCTTCACAGTCCTGGGTCCCCGCAGACCCTGTCCTCACAGCTCCCTCGTCTCTCACAGTACCCGTCCCCACAGCCTCGGGTCCCCACATCCCCGGGTCCCCACATCCCCGAGGCCTCAGATTCCCCACTCCCCACAGTCCCGGGTCCCCTTCCTCCAAAGCCACCGGTCCCCCGACATCCCCTGTCCCCGCCTACCGTGCCTTCGCAGCGCGGCCATGCCAGCCGCACAACCCCGGGGACCCCAGCCCAGGCCGGAGCAACTCCGCTGCACTTCCGGCCTCCGCCTTTGTAGGCCCGCCTACCACAGAGGCTTGTCCAATCAGAATCAGGAGCCTCTGCCGCTGGACGCCAATCAGTCGCGCACCGGCTGCGGATTGGCTCTTACGCGCTCCGGGGCACGGCCCGCCGGCGTTAGTACTCCGAGCTTGCGCGGAGGGAAGGGCGTGAACCCCGGAAAGCCGACCCGGAGCGCGGGGGAATCTGCGGGAGGGGATGAGGCGTTAGGGGCTCATCAGAAGAGCGTCACTGGAAGGGGGTGGGTACGTCAGCTGGAGGGGAGTCAGGGACTGGGTCATTGGGAGGAGGTCAGCGAGGGGCGGGATTGTGCTCCTGGGTGACCGCCCGCAGTCACTCTGGGTCCCAGCGCTGCACAGGGATGCGGGCAGTAGGATGGGTCCGCTGAGCGCCCACTGGGCCAGGGCCCTGAGGTGCGAAAGAAACTGGGACTAAAAGCAGAAAGGAAACCAGGAAGAAGGGAACCCGGGGGCCGCCCACTGACCCCGGACCCTTGTGGCGCTGATCCCTTCTGCCCACTGTTAAGATTTCTGCTTTGTGCTCCCGTCCAACCGTCTCACCTACTCCGGGACCTTGGTTTATAGTTTACTCCTCTTCCTTGAGTCCGTTTCTTGGAGAACATATTTCCTGAGAGCCTGTCTGTGCGGAGCCCTGCTGTGGAAGCTGGGGTTCCTCCCTAAGAGCAGGGAAGGGGTTTCAGACTGGGGAGAGGGGTTCAGGAAGTCCTCCTCGAATGTAATTTGAGGGAGCAAAACTCACGATGTCCAGGCAAAGGGCACTGAGCAGAAGCCCAGGCCTGGAGCAGCAGGCCCAGAGCGACAGCAGCCCAGGGAGGAGGGACGGTGACAGTGCCGTCAGACAGGAAGCAGGCGGTGCTGGGCAAGGTCGTGTAGGTGCAAGGATTAGGGCGAGGATACGCTGGTTTGCAGAAGAGGAGTGAAACTGTCTGACACCCACTTTGAAGAAGTTGCCTGAGCCACTGAGCTGACAGCACAGTGTGGAAAGCAGGGGCAGCTCGAGTCCATGGCAGTGAGAAGGACATCGGTGGCTAACGCCAGGGTGGTGGCTGTGGGAAGAGGTGGTTGGATCTGGATACGTGTGAAGACAGGGCAGCAGAGGTTTTCCGACTGAGTGGCTGTGGCAGGAGAAGTGTGGCCTGGCTCCAGGTTTTTGTCTAGAAACTGGGAGGCTGGAGTGGTTCCGAGGAGTTGAGAAACCTCCTGGGGGTGGGGGCAGTCACTGTTGGGTGGCGTGCAGTTTGGGATGCTCCTCGGATGTGTGCATGTGGGCATGGATCAGGCAGTTGGAGTGATTTTTGACGAAACAGAAAGGACCTGGATGGGATACGCAGCTGGGCTAGTCGGCTGCAGGTGCATTTAAAGCCTTAAGGGGGAGTGTAGACAGAGAAGTGGTTCAAGTACAGCTCTGAGGGGTTCTAACTCCTGCAAGGTGGGGAGATGAGGAGGGAGTGGGCAGGGGGGGAGGGGAGGACAGTGAACTATCATGAAGCCAAGTTATGTCATCACTGGCCAGAAATGATGTTGAGGACCCATCACAGACAATTGTACTCATCTAGTGAAAGTTCTCAGTGACCTTGATTACAGTTATTTTGTTGAAATGGTAGAGGCAGAAGCTTGCTGGGAATTCAGTAGAGAGAATTAACTGCAGGAGAGAAATGCAAGATACTGGATGCAGACCTCTCTATTGGACCCAGGATGGGGCAGCAGCTGGAGGGTCCCTAAAGACAGAACACACATACACACACATAATTGAAAGAGAGTTGTTTAGAAAATACACTCGCCATACACACCAAATTTATGTGTTGAAAGGTCTGATTAAGTTGAGACTGAAAATGAATAATGGTACACAAATGACACAATTAAAAAAATGGGCCAAAGACCTTCACAGACATCTCATCAAAGACAGACAGATGGTAAGTAAGCATATTGAAGGTTGCTGTTGTTCAGTCCCTAAGTTGTGTCCGACTCTTTGCGACTCCACGGACTGCAGCACGCCAGGCTTCCCTGTCCTTCACTATCTTCCAAAGTTTACTCAAACTCATGTCCAGTGAGACAGTGATGCTATCTAGCTATCTCATCCTCTGCTGCCCCCTTCTTTTGCCTCAGTCTTTCTCAGCATCAAGGTCTTTCCCAATGAGTTGGCTCTTCGCCAACTCAGGTGGCTAAAGTATTGCTCCACATTATATATGTCATCACAGGTTGCAATTTAAAACAATGAGACACCACTACACATCCACAAGAATGCTCAAATCCAGACACTGCCAACATAAAGGGAGTGGAGCAGCAGGAACTCTCATCATTGTTGGTGGTTCAGCCACTTTGGAACACAGTTTGGTGGTTTCTTACAAAATGAAACATACGCTTATGATCCATCAATCCCATTCCCTGGTATTTTCCCAGATGAGATGGCAACTTATGTGCACAGAAAACCCTGCACACAGATATTTATAGCAGCTTTATCTATAATTGCCAAAACTTGGAAGCAACGGAGGTGTCCTTCAGTAGGTGAATGGATAAATAAACTGAGGTGCATCCAGACAATGATATGTTATTCAACTAGAAAGAAATGAGCTATCAAAAGATGTGAAAAGACATGGAGGAAACTTAAATGCATATCACTAAGTGAAAGAAGCCAATCTGAGAAGGCTACAGATTGTATATGATTCTAACTCTATGACGTTTTGGAAAAAACTAAACTATGGAGAGAGTAAAAGGATCAGTGGTTGCAAGGGATTGGGTTGGGAGGGAAGACACAGGACTTTCAGGGCAGTGAAACTACTCTGTCTGATAATGTAATGGTGGAAACATTATTATTCATTTGTCTAAACCCATAGAATATACAACCCCAAGAATGAAGCCCAATGTAAACTAGGATTCTGGGTGATAGTGATATGTCAACATAGGTTCATTAGTTGTAATAAATGGACCATGTAGTGGGAATGTTGATAGCAGGGGAGGATGTGCATATGTAGCAGAAGAGGGCATATAGGAAATCTCTGTGCCTTTCCCTCAATCTTCCTGTGAACCTAAAACTACTCTAAAAAAGTTAAGTCTATTTAACAATAGATGGTGTATGAGAGAGGGAATGTCCAGAATGCTATCCTTGACTAGGTAACATCATGACCTCATTCTCTACCTCAGCTTCCCAGCAGTGTCAAGCAGCTCTGGTCTTTCTAACCATACAACACGATCTTCCCAGAAACCATCTCTTTTCCTCCAGCCCTGTTCCTTTCATCTCTTTTACACCCAAACTTCTCGAAAGAGTTGACCACAAAGTCAGTCTCTACTTTTGTCACCTTCAGTTGACTCTGCTGCCCAGCTGTGTCTCCATCCCCCACCACTGTAGCTGCTCTTGCTGAAGTCATAGGACCTCACATTCTGGAGATAGCCCACACTTGGCAGTGTCCACGTACCATTTGGTGGTCTCCCAGAAGCACCACCCACCCAGCTGCAGAGACCTGGGATTTACTGGCATCCTCTCCTCTTTGTCTCTCCCCCATGACCCACTGAAGAAATCACAGCAAGTGTGTCCTTCCTACATCATTTCTTACTTATATTGCTTGGTTCATGTCTTCATCTCTCACTACAGTTTATCCAGGCATTTTTAAATTGACCTCCACAATCCCACTTTTGTTTCCTCACTCCCACCCCACCTCCATCTCTTCTCCACACAGCAGTCAAAATACCCTTTAAAAAATCTCATTGCCCTTCAAAAGTCAGTGGATGTAATCCATCACATTGACAAACTAAAGAAAAATCACGTGATCATATTAATAAATGCAGAAAAAGCATTTGACAAATCCAGTAAAAATCCAAAATTCATGATAAAACTGTCACCAAACTAGGAAGAGAAGGGAACTTCTTCAACCTGATAAAGAACAACTGCAGAAAACCTATAGCTAGCATCATACTGGTATGGTGCTAGAGAAGACTCTTGAGAATCCACTGGACTGCAAGGAAATCAGACCAGACAATCCTAAAGAAAATCAACCCTGAATATTCATTAGAAGGACTGATGTTGGAGTTAAAGCTCCAAGACTTTGGTCACCTGATGTGAAGAGCCCAATCATTGGAAAAGACACTAATGCTGGGAAAGATTGACAGCAAAAGGAGAAGAAGGCAGCAGAGGATGAGATGGTTAGCATAACCAACTCAAAGGGCATGAATCTGAGGAAACTCTGGGAGATAGTGGATGACAGAGCAGCCTGGCATGCTGCAGTCCATGGGTTCTCAAAGAGTCAGAGATGACTCAGCAACTGAAAAACATCATCATTCTTAATGGTGAAAAACTAGATGCCACCCTGCCACCATCAGGGACAAGGCAAGGATACCCTTCTCACCCCTTTTCAACATTGTACTGGAGGTCCTAGGTAATGCAATAAGACATGAAAAGGAAAGAAAAGGTATATAAATTGATAAGGGAGAAATACAACTGTCTTTGTCCAGAGATGACATGATTCTCTATGCAGAACATCTTATTTCCCTGCTAAAAATCCTACATCAAATTTCACTGTATATAAGATACAACTCAGAGTCCTTAAAGTGTCCTTTGAACACCCCTGACTTGTTCTCCAGATGCACTCATATTTTCTCTCTTGCTCCCTCTGACTGCTCTTCCTCCTATCTGAAAGCATTTCCCTGCCCCGCTTTCTTCTTACCTGAATCCCATTCCTTCTCCAGAGCTCTGGTAGAAGTGGCTTTCTGATTGCATGCTGGTTCTTCTGCAGAGACCCCTGCACTCACCTGCGGGCACTTTAAATCCTACAGGTCTTTCTCTGAAGCTGTGAGACTTACTCAGTCAAGGAACCTGGCGTGGGGGGAGCAACAGACAATTATTGGCAGATGGAAATCAGATGGAAAAATGCCCAGCCTCAAGTGAAGGCAGGCAGTTCTGAGGGGCATTCCATGTGGTGCCTTTGGGGATCCCCAGCCAGATTGAGATCCCACTCTCCACAGGGGTGGCCAGCTAGATAGCACATCCTATTAACATCACTTTGCTCTTTGTCTCCCTCTTCCTGCTTCCTTTCTCATTTCCTGCATCACCCTCCCAAATGAACTACCTGCTCCCAAAGCCACATCCCAGGACCTGCTTGTGGGAGAACTCAGAGGAAGATATAGTCTTAATGAAGATTTCCTCAAAAGGTTCTTCTCTCATCTCAGAGCTGTGTAGTTGCCATTTAAACATTGAATAGCACCCTCTACTTTCCTTTAGAAAAGTAATTATAATTTGTGATTGTATGTTACTGTGTTATTTAAAAAAAAGTGCTTGGAAGCTCCAGGGGCCAGAGAAGGCTTCTCTCTTGTGCTCACATATGGATGGACATGTTGGGCACTCAGCACACTTTTCTTATTTTTGTTTTTGCTCTTGCATGAATGAATAAATGAATTTTTTAAAGATGAAAGGATGAAGGACCTACTGTATAGAGAGGGAATTCAATATTCTGTGATAACCTATATGAAAAAGAATAAATACATGTATATGTATAACTAAATCACTTTGCTGTACACTTGAAACATAACATTGTGAATCAACTATACTCTAATATAAAATTAATTCATTTAAAAAGAAAGGATGAGGACAAATATGGAGAGGAGGGAACTAAAGGGAAAGTATATTTTAAAGTAAAAATGATCTAGAATTTAGATTTGTGGTTGAGGTTTGAAACACACAATTCATTGGTTTTGACAGAGGAGAGAAGTTGGAAGATAAAAACTAAGGAGAAATGTGACTGTGGGCAGGTTTTCTTAGTTCATCTTGTATCCACTCCCTTAGCATTTGGAACTCTGCTGTGACGATAAGCTGCAGTTGATTAAGGGAAGTGATCAATTATATGAAGAAATATTATGGAGACAGTGCTCTTATTTAAAGACCTTGAAAATTTCAGAAAAGATTGGTTAGTCTCATCCCAAACAATTTTGGTCCCCTGATTCTCTATTCCTATTCTGTTTGTGTTTGTCACTCAGTCGTTTCTGACTCTTTGCAACCCCATCGACTGGAGTTCTCCAGGTTCCTCTATCCATGGAATTCTCCAGGCAAGAATAATGCGGTGGGTTGCCATTCTCTTCTCCAGGGGGAAGGGACTCCTGATTCCTATTCTAATGCCTGTCCATTTTCCTATAAACTCTTCTCGGTGTTTTCTCTTATTCTAGCAGCTTTCACGTGTTTGTTTGTTTGTTTAATCTCATTTAGACTTCACAACAGCCCAGTTAGAGATGCGATAAACTTCGTTTTTGCAGGCTTATGAAAGCCGGGGCTCCGGGACTTGCCCAAGGTCAGGTAACACGCTGGCGTAAGCGGGAAGGAAGCCAGGTGGTCTCCGGTTACCGGTGAGGCGGCTTTGCGCTAGGCCGTGGTAACTTTCCTTCCCCCTGGCTATCCAAATATGGACAACATCACTAAATTTTCCAGTTCGCTGCAGGTTGTGAGAGCCCGGTTTCCACTGAACCATTCTCCTTCCTCATCCCTGGGCTGGTGCGGTCTGTGCGTAGCTGGGAGCGGACGCGCGAAGGCGGCCAGACCCCCTCACTCCAGGTTTACCGACAGAGAGACTGCTCCTGGGCCTGGGGACGCCATGGGGGCCCTTCCTCCCTGCGAAGCCAGGCGGCAGGTTCCTCTCCGGGGAAGAGGAAGCGAGTGGAAAGGTGGGGGCCGGTTTAGGTGCCCGCGATAGCAGGAGGAGCAGCCCAGAGACACTCGGGCCAGCACGTAGGATACACACGTCTCCGCGTCCTCTGCGCCGCACGAGCATCCTGGGTGTGGAGACTTCATCCCGTCCACGAATCCCTAGCACCATGCGCCCGCGTGCCATTCTTCCTTCTCCCGAGCCGGCCGCGCTGTGCCGGGTGTCGGGGTGCGCGTCGGACCCGCTCCCTGAATTTCCAGCGCCCGGAGCACTTGCTCCGCGCGCAGCCGGGAGGCCGTTGCCCCCGGAGACCGCTCAGGAGCCTCAGGTCCCCTGCCGTCCCCGCGTGACCCATCGCTCCCCGCGCAACAGTTGGCGGGCCAGGCGTCTCCCCGGGCGCCCAGTGCGCAGGCGCCGGCCGTGAGGAGCGACCGTGCGCCGGGCTCCAGCGGGTCGGAGCGGCGGTAGCGGCGGGGACCCGGGGACTGGCGGACTGACGGGCGGACGGGCCATGTCGCCCCGCATCTGCTGAGCTGGAGTGCCCGAGGATGTCTGCGCTGAGGAAGGTGCGAGCCGCCGGGGCCGGAACCGCGCTGGGACGGGGCTCGGGGCGCTAGAGCCGTCGGGGGTTGGGGGGGGCGAGGGCGGCCCGGCGGGACGGACAGCTGGGACCCCGAGAGGGCGGTCGGGTGGGGGACGAGGAGCCCGAGGCAGCCTGTGCGCTGGGTCCCCTCACCCTGGGCTGCCGGGTGTGTGGGAACGGGCGCAGAGCGGGGCTTCGCTGAGGGGTGACATTCTCAGCTCGGCCAGGCAACCTGGGGGACCCGCGGAGACCCGGGAGGGAGCTGCACGCCGGGCTCCGGCTGGGCACCGCGAGGGGATGGGGGCGGCAGGCAGCAAACGGCGCCCCCTCCCCCGCCCGGTGCAGGCGGGGGACGCCGACCGCCCCTGGGAAGGCGAGGAAGGTGCCGGGAGCCTGGGCTGAGCGCGGGGGGCGCGGGGGGCGCTCAGCAGGGAGGCCGGAGGGTTTGCTCGAGCCGGGGCGCGGCCCCCGAGGCTCCCGGGGGGCTGGTGGAGCGTGCCGGGAGGGTGGCCGCCGGCTCTCCAAGTGGGAGCGGAGCGCGGGGGCTTTTTCGGGGCGGTTGCTAAGCGAGGCGCTACCCGGCGCTGGATTCTGTAACCAAGCCTCCCCCGGCAGCGGCTGTTGCCGTTCTGGGCTCGCTCGCTAACGGTAGCAGGAGAAATAAGGAAGATGTCATTATTACAGCCTGGGCGGCGAGGGGTGGGGGCGGCGGGCACGGGGGCCACCTGGAGGGCCAGCTGGGTGCCAGGCGCCCGGCCCCTCTCTCCAGCGTGCGGCACCGAGAGACGCGGAGCAGAGTGGACGGGACGCGGCGGGGGCTGGGCGGAGAGTCAGGGGCGGCGAGGGGGCGGCGGGGCGCAGAGCCCCCGGCCCCGCAGGTGTGCAGGGGGAGGGCGGTGAGAATGAGCTCGGGGGGCGACCTGCGTCGGAAACTCAGGAGTCGCTTCTCCGGCGCTCGCGCTTCTCGAGAACGTGGTCAGGTCTCCTGCGTGTCGTTTCCCCGGTGGATGGCGACTCGGCCGGGCTCGGGATTCGGAACTCAGGACTTGTCCGTGCGGCTGGCTGGCTCATATCGATCAAAAATAAAGCGATCGGCAGCAAGTCCTTCCTGTGATTAATTCTGCCAGCATGGGCTGTGGGTGGTTTTGGAGCCGGAAATGTAAAGCGCACCTGCTGTTTCTGGCATCCGAAGAGGATTTCTGACTAGGGCTCTCCCGAGGGGCCTCAGCCTCGGGGGTCTTGGGCCTGTGCCCATGACCACCGACTCACGCGTCCTGTTGGCCACTGTGTCTGATTGGAACTCGCGGGCCTGGTGATTATGACTTAAGGAAGACTCTTATGTGAAGATGTAAATCGATTTTTATTAGTTATTAGAAAATCCCCCAGCATCTCAGTGGGCCTCAGGGACCCCAGCCTCGTCCAAAAGGACCCTTTCTCTTCCTCGAATCCGACACCACAGAGCCCTCTCCCCTCCCCCACACCTTGGAAGGAGCATTTGGGTTTGAGTTAACATGCAACATCGTTTTCATTTTAACTTCCTTTATATTCTCCGCAAAAGATAATAGGTAACCAAGGCAAAAAATGGTGAAATGATGAAAAAATGGTAATTTTTGGCAGGTCAAGTTGTTACTCTGGTGTTTAAAAAAATGTCATTAATCAGGATTTTCCAGTAGCCAAATTGTCTTGTGCAGGCGGCTGGGTGACTCACAGATTTGGCTCTGATAGTAATTGTAGAGTGTGTGTACCATTTCCTTTTAGATGGTGTGACTTTCTCATTGCTTGGAAGGGAACAAATTAGAACATTTTATGCCCCACATCTGGCAGCAGGACCAGCGGGCTGTGGGGGACACTTTCTGCCCCAGCACATCTGGGCTGGGAGAGTTCAGGTCCCAGTGGAGGAAGACCATGAGAAGCAACAGTGTTGTCCTGGAGCCCGAGGCTCATCCCCACCACCACGTGCCTGCCCGGCTCACTCGGGTCAGTGCTGCATCAGTGGGGCCTGCTCTGTGCACAAGCTTCTCCTGTCCTCTTGTGCTTTCCACCTCCAGTCTCCTCTGCTCTTGGTTAAGAAATAAGCCCAGGATGACTTGCCCTAGAGACAAATCATGTTGTATCTGCATATTACATTTCAAGTTAAAGAGCAAAGTGAATTCTGTGTAAATAACTCACAGTGATGAAGTAACTAGCAGCACAAAGATGTTTTCTGAAATACGTATTCTATGCAACTTTATACAAAGTGATGCTGCTAGAGACAGAAATAAACATGTATTTTATTCACCAGTGTGTTAGTGCCTTAGGTTTCTTGTGTTGTAGATGACTTAATAGCAATGTATCTTATTTTTAGAGAATTCAGATGCTTTTGCATCATTTCTCCCCAGTGACAGAATGTGTCCCCCTATGGCAGTCTAATGCTTCTCTCATTTTTGCCTATTTCATTTTTGAAATTGGTGAAAATTTCACATTATACACTAAAAGTGAAAAAACACTGCAAAACTTGAGTCACATTGGATTCCAGACACCCAGAATCTAACCATTTCTGAAACTAAATTCTAATGTTGTAAAGAATGTGAGAGGACTTGCTATCTGTGTGTTTAACAGAGTGTCTTCCATCCTGTCCCTACATGATGAAGTTGAAGAAATGCTGGCATTCTTTTATATTTGAGGAAAAACTTCATGATTTCTCAGTTCCTTAAGGAGTTGAGTGATACACATTTTGATCATACATTTTAAAGGGAAATTAATTAAATGTATTATTTATTGGCCCTTGGAACCAATACACCATGGTCATTCACTAGATACAATAAAAGTAACAGTGATTCATCATTTTGTCCAGATGGGAGTCATATTTAAAGCACTGGCAGCATGTTTGTTATAAGAGAATTACAGGCCACCCAGCAGGAAGTTAGCGGGCAAAGCGTTCTCTGCAGTTAAAAATCGTTTTGATCAACCACAGCTTTACATACAAGTTACTTTTATCTTGTAACCATATTCCCAGCAGATCACCAGCTTTTAACAGTAGGTGTTGTGGTCTTCTGGGCATGTGTGTCATGAAGACTGAGCCTGATAGCGTCCTGTTTATTCATGGCAGACACTCTCGTTTTCTGGGAGCTAATAATCATACGAACCTTGGTGTTGCTGGGAAGGGCTGGGGGTGCAGAGCCCCCTAAATCCTGCATCTGCAGCTGGGAGAGCCTTCCCCTTCACAGCGCCCAGGACTTAACTACAAACTACAGTTTGGCGTCAGTGCTAATCTCCTGAGCAAAGACATTGGGCATCCACGGCTGAGGCCAGCCCTTCCTTTCTGTAGGGGCCGCACCTGCCGTGAAGAACCGGTCAGGCTGCAGCCCCGGGGCCCTGGAGGGTCTCCTGCCGTCAGCACCGCCCGCTTCCAGCACCGCCCACTTCCGCCCACATTCCCACTGGAGCGGCAGCTGCTCTTCAGCACACCCCTCTGGAATCATCCCCAGGGGCTTTTCCAGGACCCTGCTTCCTAAACATCTGGCTTTCTTGCTGAGTCTCTGAGGAGTTCGACTTGCCAGGCCGAGTCCAGTCTCTGTGGTCCGTGTCTCCTGTTCTCTGGGATAACTGCGCTGACTTCCTCAGAGCCGGCCTCGCTGCTTTTTCGGTTAGGCTGTGGGGCCCGCCCTCTGCTAGGAGCAGGCTCCTAGTTGATAAGGAAGTCAGGCCTCCACCAGTCTCCCAGGCTGACGGTCTCTGGGAAGAGGATGGCATTTCTTCTCAGCTGAGAACGGCTTGAGGAGAGGAAAGCTTTGGGAGGTAAATCTGAAAGGATGTAGGTCCAACACCACGCAGCCTGGGCTGAGGGTGTGGGGGCGGGGGTAGCCTGTCTGGAAGGGAAGTCAGAGCCCAGGACGGCCGGGCCGGGCCACGGTGGATGGATGCACTTTGTCCTAGGACGTCACTGGTGTCCAGAGTCAGGGAGGGCCTGAAACCATCGTTCCTGCTTCATTTTCAGTTTTGTCAACCAAGAAATCCCCTTTTGAAGTGGATGTCTGTCCCGACCACCCAATGGGATGTAAAGGTTTTAGTTTCCCTTCCAGTTTTCTCTTCAATGCTCCCACCTTGTCCTTCACCCACTGACACCGTTCTCTGGTATCCCTTTTTGTGTGTATACCCAGGGGGAAAAAAAAACAATAAAAGTAATTTTTGCTAGAAAGGAATAAATGTTTGCAACCAGCCCTGCGTAAAATCTTATACACATGCATAAAATCATATCAACATTGGTTAAAAAGTAAATCTATGTAAATAAGAAAGAAAGAAAGTGAAGTCGCTCAGTTGTGTCCGACTCTTTGCGATCCCATGGACTGTAGCCTACCAGGCTCCTCCGTCCATGGGATTTCCCAGGCAAGAGTACTGGAGTGGGTTGCCATTTCCTTCTCCAGGGGATCTTCCTGACCCAGGGATCGAACCCAGGTCTCCCACATTGCAGGTAGACACTTTAACCTCTGAGCTGCCAGGGACGAAATCTAAATAAACCTTTGTAAATCTATGTACATATGTATGTGTTAGTTGCATAGTTGTGTCCAACTCTTTGCCACCCCATGGACCGTAGCTCACCAGGCTCCTCTGTCCATGGAATTCTCCAGGTTAGAAGACTGGAGTTGGTTGCCATTCCCTTCTCAGGGGGATCTTCCCAACCCAGGGATCGAATCCTGGTGCCCCTCATTGCAGGCAGATTCTTTACTGTCTGAATCACCAGGGAAGCCAGTGGTAAATCTAAGTGCCGTTATCTTTTTAAAACATGGGCCATGCTCTGCATGAATGAAAAAAGTACTGAAATGGTCTCCCGGGGCCCACAGAGTACACATTTTAAGCCAGGAAACATAAAATTAGGCTTTGAGCAAAACGGAAATTTGCCCTACTAGTTTTGTACAATGCCGACCAACAGCTTTTTATATTGGCTGTAGGTAGCAGTTAGGAATGAGGGTTCTGGAGTCAGAACCCTGGGTGGCTGAGTGGCAC